GGGCATCACTTGAATTTATTATATTTTCATTGTTTATTCGGCCATTCTTTAAATAATATTGTTATACATGTACATCACTTCAATTTATTCCTCATTATTGATCTATATTTTCAATTTTCTTAAATGAAATTAGACATTTATATTCCTAAATATTTCATGTGATACATTAAAATTTCTAAAAGTTACTTTGAAATTAAGAACTGATCGTGATAATATAGCTTTGGCAAACGTTCTTCTTACAGGACAAATGTGGGTATACCACTATTTGAGGAAAAATAAAGGTATCTCATCCAATATTAAATAACCATTAAGAACAGATGTTCATGCTTATTGCTAATAAGAAGACCAAACACAGATCCCTGAAGATATTCAGAACGAACAATTGATACAGCATCAGATTTTGGTGGAAATGTTATTTAAACTTTTATTGTCGTCATGCGTGTAAGACGCTGTTGGTTTTAGTCAATATAGTTCATTTCCTGTGTAATACTCTAGGGGTTGTTATAGCTAATTACATTTCTCTGTTATTCAAAAGGAACGAACATTTCTCCGGCGATGTACAGCATACAAACTAGTACTTTTCGACGTCACTTGGATACACTTCTATACCACACCTCAATGGTTTTAAAGTAAAACAAAACCAAATTGAAATGCAACCGTTCTGTAGGAGGCGGAATGCGGTAATCTCAACACCACATTTTCAGTGATCACTTTGTAACACTATTGGAATTGTATTTAGCGATAATTTAAGTATTCATCAAGATATTGGTTTAAACTTGTTATCAGTGAAACAGAAAATTTTTCTGAGTGGAAATTGTTTGTGATTTAGATTTGTAGAATTAGTTTGTCAGAGTTTATAAGACATCTAATTATCTCTTTCAGACGAATTTGAGGATACTTATGGTGTTTATTTTTTATGAACTGTTTTTTAAGGATACGTAAAACTCATCTTAATCTCTACTTACTCTTATCAGCGATAACAACAACAACAACAAAAAGTCAAGAACGATACTGCTGCCATCCTGCGGCTCATTGATCAACCTATAATGTATACGTGAAATGTGATTGAGACTATTTTCATATTTTTTACTGATAGATGAGGAACCGCCCAAAATAAGTCTCGCTGTTTCTCTTATTGGAACCTGAATAAATTTGTAGACTGTAAAAATATATTAATTATACAACAATAATAATTTTACTAAAATAGCAAAAACATTTTATGCTTTTTTTAAAAGGAACTTTTTAGTAGTCAGTTACTAAACTGAAAATACACTTCAAAGGCTAAAAATTACATTGAAATAGTAAATTTTGCATTCCTCACTAAGTTCACACCAAGGTTATAGAGTGAAAACAATAGGAAATAACATAAGTTTACAGTACATCTAAAGCGTTAACGTCACATTACCAACCAAGGTCATAGAGTGAAAACATTAGGAAATAACATAATTTTACAGTACATCTAAAGCGTTAACTTCACTATTACTAACCAAGATTATAGAGTGAAAACAATAGGAAGTAACATAATTTTACAGTACATCTAAAGTGTTAACTTCATATTACCAACCAAGATTATAGAGTGAAAACAATAGGAAGTAACATAATTTTACAGTACATCTAAAGTGTTAACTTCATATTACCAACCAAGATTATAGAGTGAAAACAATAGGAAGTAACATAATTTTACAGTACATCTAAAGTGTTAACTTCATATTACCAACCAAGGTTATAGAGTGAAAACAATAGGAAATAACATAAGTTTACAGCACATCTAAAGCGTTAACTTCATATTACCAACCAAGGTTATAGAGTGAAAACAATAGGAAATAACAATTTTACAGTACGTTTAAAGCGTTAACTTCATATTACCAACCAAGGTTATAGAGTGAAAACAATAGGAAATAACAATTTTACAGTACATCTAAAGCGTTAACTTCACATTACCAACCAAGGTTATAGAGTGAAAACAATAGGAAATAACAATTTTACAGTACATCTAAAGTGTTAACTTCACATTACCAACCAAGGTTATAGAGTGAAAATTGTAGGAAATATATTATAGATTAAATTGTATATTAAATAGATAAAACAACATTTAGAAATGACATTTAATCTTAGAAGACCTGTTTTTGTATTCATAGAATAATAATCACCGGAGTACTATTATCTAACAGCTGTTGATATAGGACAGAACGTATATTTCATGGAGATCAGAGACGTAATGTTGCGGGAGCGCACCGGAGTACCGCTCCTGCGCCTGAAATTGGAGCTGAATCCCGACACTTTAAAAACTAAAATTATGTATATGAAAAAGTTATTCGATTTACCTGCGAAATTAAGTGTCTTTCATAACAAAACACCCAGAATATCTGTGTGTGATCTACTGGTACAGTTCTCAAACCGTCCAGAACACTCTTCCTCGGGAACTGGTGTCAGGCACAATCTGACCATTCCGGCTCAAGACCTTGTGTCAGCGTTAAAATTGTGGAATGCTTCTTGCCACACGTTATGTGGTTATTAAGACACACGAATATGGTATTCAAGCACTTAATTTAAGTAAATTTTACAATTATACCGTGTGTGTAAAACGTTTTTTGAAAGGCTTATTATTTACATAATATACAATGAAGGTTACTTATTTTAGCTATTCGTGCTGGCAGGGTAGAAGGTATGCAAGGCATAATAAAAGTCAGGATTGTTAATACTATAGTGTAGTTAGTAAGATAGTAAATATAATAATTAAATATACATTTTAAAAACTTGTTTTAATGTGAGTGATTATTATTTGTTACACAGATGTCGTTTCTTTACCTTGATGTTTAATTTATAGCAAGTTCAGTTTCGTGTTTTCTCTCGTTACTATATAAGTATTCAACTTGGCTTTAATGTACGTAGTCTCAAATAATTCGAGTTGAATATATTTTCTTTATTTAAAAATAGATTTAAAAAAACTTGAAATTAGCCTTTGAGATCTTTATCCTTATGGTAACGTCACACATCTAACAATTTTTGGTAGCACTACGCCACTAATGAAGATTAAAATTTGACTTAACTTGAGCTATTAATCTGCTGTTATTGGATAATCTAGGGATTACAACGTGACTTAACTAACTGTAGGGCGACTGTTTGTCTGTAACTCTATATAAACGTCTGTTTCAGATATTCTAATACATTTAACTCTTAGTAAGACAGGATATTAATATGCATCAAATCTTTTAGAACATATGTTAATAAAACAGTAAATATCAGTTACTTTAATATGGGAAGTGTTAGTAAGACAGTATATCGGTGTATATCAAATATTTTACTATGAATAGTGTTAGTAAGACAGGATATTTATATGCATCAAATCTTTTAGAACTTATGTTAATAAAACAGTAAATATCAGTTACTTTAATATGGGAAGTGTTAGTAAGACAGTATATCGGTGTATATCAAATATTTTACTATGAATAGTGTTAGTAAGACAGGATATTTATATGTGTTGTTAAGACAGTGTATCAGAGCATGTAAGATATTTTGTTAACTGTATAAGCTTTTATAAACGAAATATATTAGTGTGTAAGTAAAAGAAATACTTTAATGGTGTTTTATATTACACAAGTGTCGGTGTGATTTTAACGGTAGGCCTACCAATAACATATGGTGTGAATAAGCTTCTGACAAACAAAAGTACGAATAGGGATTTGGGTTATTTTTAACGGTAGGCCTACCAAGAACGTATGATGTGAAGAAGCTTCTGACAAACAAAAGTACGAATTGAGATTTGGGTTATTTTAACGGTAGGCCTACCAAGAACATATGGTGTGAATAAGCTTCTGACAAACAAAAGTACAAATTAAGATTTGGGTGTTGCTTTAACGGTAGGCCTACCAAGAACATATGGTGTGAATAAGCTTCTGACAAACAAAAGTACAAATTAAGATTTGGGTGTTGCTTTAACGGTAGGCCTACCAAGAACATATGGTGTGAATAAGCTTCTGACAAACAAAAGTACAAATTAAGATTTGGG